AGATAGGAAACAAAAGTGGTAGGAGGAAGAAAAAAAAGGAAGAGAAGAGAAATAGAGGATGAGGTGAAGAGTGGGAGATGATTAAAGATTGCTGCAGTGGGGAGTGGGGGGTCAAGCAAAGAAAACTGAAGAGGAAGGATGAGGAACATGGTAAATGTGAAAAGGAATAATGGCAGGGAAGGAATAGTAAAAAGAAAAAGAGAAAAGATAGAAGCTAAAAAAGGGTAAAGAAAGTGAAGAAAATAAGGAAAGAAGAAGAAGAAGAGAAAAAGGAGGAAGGGAAGAGAGAAAGGAGGAAGAGAAGAGAGAAAGGAGGAAGAGAAGAGAGAAAGGAGGAAGAGAAGAGAGAAAGGAGGAAGAGAAGAGAAAAAGGAGGAAGAGAAGAGAAAAAGGAGGAAGAAAAGAGAAGAGAGAAAGGAGGAAGGGAAGAGAGAAAGGAGAAAGGGAAGAGAAAAAGGAGAAAGGGAAGAGAGAAAGGAGAAAGGGAAGAGAGAAAGGAGAAAGGGAAGAGAGAAAGGAGGAAGGGAAGAGAGAAAGGAGGAAGGGAAGAGAAAAGTGGAGAGAAAATAAAGAAGGGAGGATTGTTTTGTTTTATGGCATATCAACCTCAATGGTTTATAAAGGAGGGAGAAGAAAATAAAGGAGAAAATGGAGGAAGGAGAAAATAAAGGAGGGAAAATAAGGGAGGGAAGAGAAAAAAGAGAGGGAGGAGAAAATAAAGGAAGGAAGAAAATAAAGAGAAAATAAGGAAGAGAAAATAAGGGAGGGAAAAGAAGCAAAAATTACAGATGAAGAAAAGAAAAGAAAAAAGGAGTAAAAAAAAGAATGAGGAAGGAAAGAGGTTAAAAGCAAGAGAGAAAAAAATCAAAATCAGAGAGGAGAAAGAGAGAGAAAAAGAATATGAGGGAATAGGTAAAAAAAAAAACAAGGAGAAGATGTAAAAGAAAAGTGATAGAAAGCAAGAGAAAGAGAACAAGTAAAAATTAGAAAGATAGAGTATAGAAGAGAGTAATTAAAAAAGAAAGAGAAAAAAGAAGGAATGAATGAGAAAGGATGAGAAGGTGAAAGAAAACGAGGTAAAGAGACTAAAAGCAAGAGGAGTAAAAATTAGCAAAGTTAAAGATATAAGGGAGAGGTATTGAAAAAAAGGAGTAGTAGTAAGAGGGAAAATGTGTGGAGGTGAAAGAGAAATTTGAAAGAAGGAGAAAACATAGGAAAAGGTGGCAGGAAGAGGAAAAAAATTAGAATGGTGGAAAGGTGGGGGGAACTAACTATGTCATAATTTTTTAAGAAAAGAAAAAAGTCGATAATGCTGTGGGTGAGTGAAAAGAAAAAGATAAAGAGAGAAAAGAAGAAGGAAAACAGAAAAAGAGAAAAGAAAACCCCAAAAAATATTTTGACAAAATATAAACATCTATATTAAAAACCTGACTGATTTTTTTGAGAGACAAAAATATTTTCTTCTTTTTCATAGAAATGACCATTTTACATGCTGTTAGCCATTGAAGAAGAAGATAGCTTGTTTAGGTCAAATGTCAAAAAGACCATATTGCGATAAGAATGGTTTTGAATGTTTAACTAAGAATCAAATAATTTTCTATTATTTATTAAATATAGAGAATAATTTCCTATTATTTATTAAATATAAAGAATAATTTTCTATTGTTTATTAAATATACAGAATAATTTCCTATTATTTATTAAATATAAAGAATAATTTTCTATTGTTTATTAAATATACAGAATAATTTCCTATTATTTATTAAGTATAAAGAATAATTTTCTATTATTTATTAAATATGCAGAATAATTTTCTATTATTTATTAAATATAAAGAATAATTTTCTATTGTTTATTAAATATACAGAATAATTTCCTATTATTTATTAAGTATAAAGAATAATTTTCTATTATTTATTAAATATGCAGAATAATTTTCTATTATTTATTAAATATAAAGAATAATTTTCTATTGTTTATTAAATATACAGAATAATTTCCTATTATTTATTAAGTATAAAGAATAATTTTCTATTATTTATTAAATATGCAGAATAATTTTCTATTATTTATTAAATATAAAAGAATAATTTTCTATTGTTTATTAAATATACAGAATAATTTCCTATTATTTATTAAATATAAAGAATAATTTTCTATTGTTTATTAAATATACAGAATAATTTCCTATTATTTATTAAGTATAAAGAATAATTTTCTATTATTTATTAAATATGCAGAATAATTTTCTATTATTTATTAAATATACAGAATAATTTCATATTATTTAGTAAATATAAAGAATAATTTCCTATTATTATTAAATATACAGAATAATTTTCTATTATTTAGTAATTATACGGGGTTGCTCAGTCCTTTGAGAAAAATGTCTATTAATAGTTGTGATTTTTTTTTCTAGCTTCTTCTCATTATTATTACTTTTCAGATAAATGATAAATGACTTTTACTAAATCCGTGAAAATGTCCTCAAAGAACTGAGCAACTTTGTACAGGGGGCTGCAAAAGTAGGTATACAGCAGAGATGTGACGTCTAGGTTGGCAGTGTCTATCCTGGATGAAACAGATCAGCAGCTACATTTTCCTTCTGTGGCACAATATGCTCCTAATCCAACAAAATTATGAAGATTACTCTGCTTATTATCCATAAAATTCAAAATATTTTTTTGTAGATTTACTACATAAAGGTCACAAGCTGCCTACCCTTAGTAATTATTATGCCTAAAATTCAAAATATTTTTTTTTGTAGATTTACTACCTAAAGGTCACAAGCTGCCTACCCTTAGTAATTATTATGCATAAAATTCAAAATGTTTTTTCTTGTAGATTTACTACATAAAGGTCACAAGCTGCCTACCCTTAGTAATTATTATGCCTAAAATTCAAAAATATTTTTTTGTAGATTTACTACATAAAGGTCAAGCTGCCTACCCTTAGTAATTATTATGCCTAAAATTCAAAATGTTTTTTTTTGTAGATTTACTACATAAAGGTCACAAGCTGCCTACCCTTAGTAATTACCGACAAAACAAGCCTGATGTACATTAAGTAGTTTACTAGTATTCTAAGAGTGGTTCTAGGATTTATTTAATATTAGAATTCATTAAATTTATTAAAATTATTTTTATAATTTTTAATATAATACATTTATTATCATTTTTACTTTTTAATAAGTAATAATAAATAATATTTTATAGGTAATTTAATGGATGCAGATCCGAAATGAATTTTGAAATTATTGATGTTTGCATAATAAATACAATGTGTGTTGTGCATACATTTTGTCTTTTGTTAATGTATGCCTACATTTTCACTCCTTCTCTACCATTTAGGCTTTTGAACCCCCTGTATGCCATTTAGGCTTTTGCACCCCCTGTATACCATTTAGGCTTTTGCACCCCCTGTATACCATTTAGGCTTTTGCACCCCCTGTATACCATTTAGGCTTTTGAACCCCCTGTATGCCATTTAGGCTTTTGCACCCCCTGTATGCCATTTATACTTTTGCACCCCCTGTATACCATTTATACATTTGCACCCCTATATACTATTTATACATTTGCACCCCTATACTATTTATACTTTTGCACCCCCTATATTTTATTTATACTTTTGCACTCACTATATTTTATTTATACTTTTGCACTCACTATATTTTATTTATACTTTTGCACTCACTATATTTTATTTATACTTTTGCATTTCCTATATACTGGTTATACTTTTGAACCCACTGTATATTTTTTCTATAGTTTTACACCCCTTGTATACTATTTATTTTTTTTTATTCTTTATAATTTTCTTTTATTTAAACTGAAGTAGCTGCACTTCTTGTATGGAAAGAGCACAGATATCGCCATGACAAAGTAGCCCGTAGATTACCTTGGGAACTGTGCACATAGGAGTGGTACGAGCAGGCACCATTGTCAGTAACCAAGAATGAAAAATTGAACCTTATCTGGGATACAACTCTCAAGTTAACTCAGCAAATGAAAAAGCAAACTGTAATTGATCTCTGTAATATCCAGTAGTAATGAATTACATTCCATTGAAATAGAAATGACATCAACTCTCCAAACATCTGGAGTTATAGTAGGAAAGAGAAATTTTAACTAACTTATGTCTGGTTCAAGTTGGAAGGAAGGGAGAAAAGCCTGCTCCTGCTCCTTGGAACCTTCAATTATGTTGGAGAGTTTTAACAGAAATAATAAAAATTACCAAAATAGGTAATAGTGGTTAAACTAAGTTAAACTTTACCAAAAGTTTTATGAAAATAAGATAGACCGAGGTGTGATACACTTTTTTTTATTTTGGTGGTGGTGGTGGTGGTTCTACATTTTGTTTTGTTAGATCTTTTACAATCAGATCACAAAAACAAATTTCACAGCAGATGTTTTTCTTCATGATAAAATAGATAAGTTTTGTACGCGTGATATTTTCACAGGATAACTTTTTTGAAGCGACACAATTCTATTTGTGAAGATAACCTCTATATCTTCCACAGAATTCAGAATATTTTTCTTCTGGTTTATTCTGCACAATGAAGGCTTATTTGAATAAACTGCATTTTAGCAATGGATGCAAAAACAAAAGTTTTAGAAAAAAAATAATTCCACCATCTTAGAAAATCAGTTGCTTTTTTGTTTTTCAGGCATTTTGTTTGAGCAAAAACATGTATCATGTCAAACCCATTATTCCTTTTTTTGACTACTTTTTCTTTTCATTTTGTTTTTGATGATTTTTTAAAAAAAGATTTTTGTTTACAAGCAACATGAGTAAGATAAAACTCTTCCAACAGGACTTGAACTCATATCTACTATCGTTAGAAAGGTTTATCTGATATGGACATTACTTAAATGATTACGCTACAAATGCCAACTAGTAGATATTATTCAAATTTAGTCATAACTATATTCTTAGTAATTCTGTTTTTGCAGCTAGTAGTAATGGATGTAATAGCATTCCTTCTAAAAGAAGCATAGTCATTTTTCATTCTTTTGGGAAAAAGGAGAAGGAAAAAATGCAGAAAGAGAAAGAATTAGAAAAGGATGAGGAAAGAAAATGAAAGAGTTGGTAAAAGAAGAAGAATGAGAAAGAATAAAGAAAAGGAGAAAGGAAAAGAATGTGAAGAAATAGCAGGAGAAAGAATTATTATAAGGAGGAGAAAAAAGGGAGAAGGTGAACAGAAAAGAGGAGGAGGAAGAAGGGAAAAGAGGAAAAAAAAGAAAAAGGAAAGGGGATGCATAAGAAAAAGGAAAAAAGGAGGTAAAAGCAAATGAAGAGGAAAAAGAAAAAGTAAAAGAGGAAGAAAAAGAGAAAAGGAGGAAAAAAGGGGGCAAAAGAAAAGGGAAAGAAGAGAAAAAGGAAAAGAAGAGGAAAAGGAAAAGAAGGGAAAAAGAAAAGAAGAGGAAAAAGAAAAGAGGAAAAAGAAAAGAAGAGGAAAAAGAAAAGGGGAGAAAAAAGAAAAGAGGAGAAAAAAGAAAAGAGGAGAAAAAAGAAAAGGGGAAAGAGGAAGAAAAAGAAAAGGGAACAGAGGTGAAAAAGGAAAAGAGGAGCAAAAAGAAAAGAGGATGAAAAAGAAAAGGGGATGAAAAAGAAAAGGGGATGAAAAAAAGGGAGGAAAAAAGAAGAGGAAAAAAAGGGGGAGGAAAAGGGGAAAAAAAAAAAAATGGAAAAAAGAAAAGAAAAGGAAAAAAAGAAAAGGGGAGAAAAAAGAAAAGATGAGGAAAAAGAAAAGATGAGGAAAAAGAAAAGATGAGGAAAAAGTAAAAGGGAAAGATGAGGAAAAAGAAAAGGGGAAAGAGAAGGAAAAAGAAAAAGAAGGGGAAAAAAAGCAAGCAGAGAAAGAAAAAGAAAAAAGAATAAAGAAAAAGAAACAGAAAGATGAAAAAGAAATGGTGAATAAAGAAAAGTAAAAGAAAGGACAAATCGAAAAGAGAAAGGCGGGGGGGAAAAAGATATTTATCTCTGTTCAGAGTGGATTTAAAAAATACAAACAGTCTACTTCAAAGACTTTAATGGAAAAAAAAATGAGAAATTTAAATCACAAAGAAAAAAACATAGATTAGGAAATTCAGCTGCTTAGATAAAGTTTACACATATACCAACTTATGTACATATGTCAATGAATGCATGCACTGGATACACACACACATGCATGCATATATATAATATACACACAAGGAAAGATCAATAAATATGCAGCCTAAGAGGTGACTGCTAAATATTGATCAGAAATTGTCATTGACTAATGTTCGATCTCTGTGATTAAACACAAACGGCTGAAAGAATAAATATTTATTGTACAAAATTTATGCTCTTTTTCATTATTAGTTTACAGCTTTATTGATTGTCCATGTGTGGATATATATATATATATATGTGTGTGTGCATATATGTATATGACAGTGGGAATGGTGTGTTGAAAGTTTGTTTTTTTTTTTTAAAATAAAATGACTCTCAGTAAAATTCCAGCTATGCTCAACACACGAAGCATGGAATAAACGGTCCTACTATTATTCATAACAACACAAATACATGTCTTGGAGAATGGAGAATTAACAGCACCTAAGAACAAACCCCTTCAAAATGGCTAAAGTGGCTGGAAGCACTTGGGAGTTGGAAAATATAGACAATTTTTGTACTCCCTTACTGCCACCAAAAAAAAAAAAAAAAAAAAAAAAAAATATAATATATATATATATATATATATATATATATACGTCATTTACAGACAGATTGTTTCAGCTGTATCATGGCTCCTCAGTGTGGATAGAAGCCTGATTGTGTGTGTGTGTGTGTGTATATATATATATATATATATATATATATATATATATATATATATATATACCTGCCATAGGGTACACTGAGGCAGTGTAACTTGCTAGAACAATTATGACTGAATCGTGAGTCTGATCCCCTCACGGGGTGCTCCTTACTTTCGGCCTTGTGCCACATATAAGCTGCGCTTGGAAAATCACTATTGGGCACCTTGTGGCAGTGTAATGGTTAGCAAGCTTGTCTCACTAAATCAATTACGACTGAGTAGTGACTTCAATCTTCACCGGGTGCCCCATACTTTCGGCCTTGTGCCACATCTAAGCTACGCTTGGAAAATCACTAGGACACCTCGGTGTGGTGTAATGGTTAGCAAGCTTGTCTCACTAAAACAATTATGACCGAGTAGTGAGTTCGATCCTCACTGGGTGCCCTATACTTTTGGACGTGCCATATCTAAGCTATGCTTGGAAAATCACTATTAGGTCACCTTGAGGTCGTGTAATGGTTAACAAGCTTGTCTTGCTAGAACAATTATGACTGATTAGTGAGTTTGATCATCACTGGGTACCCCCCCCCAGTTTTGGCCTTGTGCCACACCTAAGCTGTGTTTGGAAAATCACTATATAATACCTGCCTTAAGTTGATGGTTACCTAGTTAATCTTGAAATTTATTGCGTTTAAGTCTGCTCCAAATCTGCTGCTCTATGAGGATGTCCTTGTGTCATGCTTACTCAAGACTTGTATCAGTGGAAACTTAGACATAAACACATGCTTGATAAATAAATAAGGTTAATTCGTTTTAAGTGTTAACAAAGTACTTTTGATTCATTCTTAACTTATCTAGTTTTGACTATTCCTTCAGGCTTTCTTTTTGCCCTGTCCATTTCAGGGTGCATACAGGGTTAAAGGGCCCCTTTATGCTTGTGCTTGACAAAAGATATCAGTCCCCCATTAAGGACTCCTTTCTTTTCATCTCCTAAAGGGAGGACACACACACACACACCTACCCTTTTTCTTCTCCCTCTCATGTCTGAAAGCCTCTGGTCTCCAAGATGGCCTGGAAAGATATTTCTGAGTCAATTCATCTGTTCAATAAACCAAGTGGAGATAATCATTTCCATATGCTTGGCTTGTTACAAACTGTCACTTGTCTAGAGTCCAAGTAACCTAGACTCTGGTTCACCCAGGTTCAATTTTGACCCAGCAATTTTTTTTTTCTTCTCCCATATCTCTTTCCTTTTTTTTGTTTTTTCTTTTTTTTTAAATGAAGACTAAAAGAATTTTGTCAGATCTATTCCATCTCATGTGTTTTCCTTTTCTAAAAGATTCTTTTATTTAAAATCACTATTGAAGTTCAGGTTTCAAATGTACAGCCTTTCATTAAGGAAGCCCTTTTTATTTTATTTTCTCTCTTTTCATTGAGAATTAAGTCTTTTAATGAAAAATGTTCCAAGATTCCTTTTTTGTTTTTTACTTTTACAACCCAGGAGAAAGTTTTTCCCCTAACTTGTCAAAATGTCAGCTCAAATCTAGTTAAACTTTGTACGCCTGAACTCTGAAATTTTATTCACTATTCATTTATTTTATTTTTCTATCATTTTCTCTGGATAGGAGTAGATAGTCTTGCATATCATCCTGTTCATAACCCTTCCCAATCTTTTGAACAGGAGTAGAGGTTTATCCCTTGTTTCCTGTTTAGGATTGGGGTTTCCAATTCATTCTAAAGTTTACTTCAACTTTATACTTTGGACATCTCCACCTGGACTTTTTTTTTCTCTCCTTCCCCAATTGGAGTAAATAGTTTCACCTATCGTCCTGTTCACACTCCTCCCCAGTTTTTTGAAGAGGAGTAGAGATTTATCTCTTGTTTCCTGTTTTGGATTGGGTTTCCGGTTCCTTCTAAAGTCTACTTCTACACTATTTACCAGCTGAATTCTGAAATGTTATTCACTTAATTAATCTTGACCTCTTCAAGTCTAGAGTTAGCCATTATCTATCCTGCATAGCCACAGGAACTTCACTTGTTGTCCTTTTTTAGGCTCTACCTTGAGTGGCTCTTGGGACTTGTATTGAGTGAACATTAGTAAAAAAAAAAAAAATGTCTCTATACACATACAGACACTGCATTTCACATTATAAGATACTTTTAATTTTTAGAGAACTAAAGAAGGGATTTCTACAAAGGACAGGAAAATGTGGAGAGCCCTGACCACCATGTCTTGAAGGGCAAGGCTCATAGAAGAAGAAAAATAAAGGGGTTCACAAACAATATTTGCACTGTTAATGATCAAGATATTTCACTGAAGTTAAGCAATGTTGAGCCTGGTCAATATCTAGAAGGGTGACTGCTTGGCAATACTAGATGCTGTAAGATGTATATTACTAAAAACATTATTATCTAAAAAAAAAAAAAAAAAAAAAAAAAAAAAAAAAAAAAAAAATTGCATATAAAATATTTAGATTTCAAAATGAGCCATAGAGGCTGATATGCCACTAAACTTAACATACATATATATATATATATATATATATATATATATATATATATATATATATATATATATGAAGAAAAAAAAAACAAACAAAAATCTTAAATGCAATTATATTTGTTTAAAATGAATGAAATATCGACATCTGACGTTTCGGTTTAATAAACCTTTTTCAAGACAATATTCATTAAAATACAATTCAGTTCAATTTGACAAAGGCGATGGACATAAACAACAAGTCTTATCCAAAACAGATAACTGAAAATTTTTAAAATGATCAGCTTTCCGTTTAGCATGGTCACGTTAAAATTCGACAAGCATACACATAAAATTTTTAGATCCTAATAGAATTCTTTTTCATTTTTTTTTCATTCAAAATAATCAAAATTTTAGGAATACGCTTTGAAAGCGTTGCCCATGTGACGACAACGTGACCATGCTAAACGGAAAGCTGATCATTTTAAAAATTTTCAGTTATCTGTTTTGGATAAGACTTGTTGTTTATGTCCATCGTCTTTGTCAAATTGAACTGAATTGTATTTTAATGAATATTGTCTTGAAAAACGGTTTATTAAACCAAACGTCAGACGCCTACATTTCATTCATTTTAAACAACATAATTGCATTTAAGGATTTTTGTTTGTTTTTTCCAAATTTTCTTCATTCTGTCGGATCTATATCCATTTACATTTATATATATATATATATATATATATATATATATATATATAGTCTGTCTTCCCTTGAGTTTATACACCTCTTCCAGCCTTGACTGTTACGATTTTTGAAAGAATTAATTTCGTTATATCTTTTAATGTTTGTACACTATTTCTTGAGCATTTCACTTTTCTTGCAATTTTGACTTGGGATAATCCTTCTTTGAGAAATACAATGATTTCAGCTCTTTTAGTTTCAAGAATGCTTTTCTTCAGAGACATTTTCAACAAAGAAGAAGCGCTTATAAATTGATACTGAACACGTTACTAAAAAATTAGAAAAGATTTAGTGCTACAGATTAAATTTCAAATAAATGGTTTTGCCACTAACGCCAAATAAGGAAAAATAAACACAAATCATTATTTGTACCTATAAATGCCAGTGAAACATCAATTCAAGAATTCTTATTATAGTGTTTTCAACTAATATATGTACATGTTTCAATCATATTTCTAACTTATCTACACCTGCTGCATAATTTTGTCCATGGGTGTGTGTGTGTGTGTGTGTATATATATATATATATATATATATATATATATATATATATATATATATATAGATGAAAAAAAATACTTTTAAGGTGTGCTATATTTATGGAATAAAGTGCTCAATATCAGAGACAGAGCGTATGTAATTATAAAATATAAAAGTGAACATTAAATCATAATGTAAGTAATATAAATAAATAAATAATATAAAATAAATGATAAGTAATATAAATAAATAAATAATATAAAATAAAAATAATAATGTAATATAATGAAATATAATGTAAGTAATAAAATAAATAATAAGTAAATAAAATAAATAAATAATAAGTAATATAAAATAAATAAATAATAAGTAATATAAAATAAATTAATCCTAATGTGAGTATTTCATTAGCTATATATATATATATATATATATATATATATATATATATATATATATATATATATTACTAGTGAAATACTCATACAAAAAAAATTCTCACAATCTAAAATAATCTAAAAAGTGTTGATAAGCCATAAAAACTACCAATTCATTATTAACAAAGTTTCTGAAGCCTTTAGAAACTTTATGTTGTAATTAGTAATTATAATTACAGAATGTACACAAAGCTTAAAAAGGCACTCATTTTGAATAAAAGATTAAAAACACTGATAGTGTAATAATAACAATGTTATGAAGAGGACATTAATATGGAATTGTATCCTTCATGTTCTGAAATTAGTTTCAGGAGTCATTCATCCATTGATTTTGTAAGCTGTTGTGTTTGTTTAATATAAAACAGATGGCAAAACGTGGAGAACAGTATTTAAAGATTCGTGTTTGCTGGCAAACTGCCGTCTGTCAATGAATAATCTTCTTGATTTGTTTTTTATGGCTTATCGACCCTTTGCAGGTTATTCAAAATTGGAAAATATATTCAGATTGTAAGAATTTTTTGAGACATTATTCTATAGGAAAAAGTATTTGGAAAATTTGACACTCACAGGATATATTGAAAGCCAGACAGACAGAGGAAATCATAAGGTAACTAATGAGTTTGTGAAAATGGGGGGCACAACAGGGTTTAGGAGAGATAGCAATAAGACAAGCTTTATTAAGAGCTATAAAGGGCAGGAAGTTGTGAAGAGCCATGATTACTAATGTTCTGAATGGATATAGGCACATAGAAGAAGAAGGTCTATATGCTTATCAATTTAAATCTGTGTTTATATGTTTATGCATTCATGTGAACATATCTGCATCTGTACATTTACACAAATGCAAATATTTAAAATCTGCAAATGTGCACATGTTGGGAAGGGTGTGACAAAAGGTAATAAACAGCAGGTGCACTTGTTGCATCTCATTTAAATTTAATTTTTTTTCCCCCACTTGCACGACAGAGTTTAATGTGTCATTGTTATTGGTTGAAGAAAAGATGGCAGCTGCTGAAGAAACATGGTTGAAATCATGGCTGCCTAATTTGACTGAAGCAGACGTGAATTGGTCACAGCAGCCAACGTCATTTCCAAAGTTCAAAACCAGTAAGAGAAGCAGACGTCAGCTGTGGAATTTGCATGCAAATCACAAGCCAGTAAAAAGAATAGGCAAGGCAGCTGCAAAAGACTTGGACAAGGTTCTTCAGATAAGCAGTCTGATGTGCTAGAAAACTCTGATTTTATTTTAAATTTTAGGTCCCTTTTTTCATTTAAATTGTTTTTATTATTCAACAAAATTTATTTATTTACTTCTAATTATTTCTTGAAACAAACATTTTTTTTAAAATTTTATCTCACTCCATATCTGTCTTCACAACGCTTGACAGCCAATTTCTAGAATTGTGGTCTGGATAAGGAGAGGAATTTGAATGTAAATGTAGATAAAGAAGAAAAAAATATGGACACATTTTTGCAGACACACATACAGAGATGTGTATCTAGAAGTGGGATGCAGAAAAGACCTTGTTGGGACCTTTTTCACAAAATCTGATCAAATGCACATCAGAATTTTGGAGGC